GGTCCACTATTTGAGCCGCCACATTAACCTCACCCTATGGGCCCCTCCCCTTCAACCCTACACCACACCAGCCTCCAAATCCTCATAAGCCCCACTCATCAAGACGCTAAACCCCAAAACGGAAGAAAGCCGCATGCTGAGACTCCCCATATACCCTGAACCCTACCCTAGACCCTGAACCCCGACCCCAAACCCTATCTAAACCTTAAGCCGTATACATTATAAACCCACCGCCATGAAGCTTCGTCGCAGGTTTATGGCGTCGACGCCGATCAGTTTCTAGAGCTCAGGAGAGATCCGGGGCGTTTCTCCTTACCCAAAGGTCCAAAGGACCCACTAATCAGGTATATACTTAGGTGTCGGATAGTAGTTATGTAGGTTACTATTTGGGAGAGTATATGATTATTAGGTGCTTGGACCCTTAGGGTTAGGGTTTTGGGAAAAGAAAGCGGGAGGGTTGGGGTTGACCTGCTGGGTTTAGCGTTTCTCGCTTAGGGCCTAGGGTTTTCAACGAGTCTAGGATGAGGAGTTCGACTTCAGGCTCTCGGATGCAATGTACTTGTTTTTGGCCACCAGGGCCTTCTGGTACATAGATTTTGGGTTTAGGGTTGAGGGTTTTTAGGGGTTGAGGGTTTAGGGGTTTAGGGGTTTTGGGGTTTAGGGTTTAGGGGGATTATAAGTATACTGCCTAAACCCTAAACCGGCTAAATGCAGTACACTGTGTCCTCACCCTAAACCCTAAACCCTAAACCCTAAACTCTAAACCCATGAATCCCTAGACCAACAGCGTATGCGCCGAGCTCACGACTTCCTCCCGTTGTACCTTTGAGACACACGTCTATAGCCCTAACCCCCCAGGTACCTACTATATAGCTATATAGGGCCCTAGCGGCACTAGTACCCTATATAGTAGGTACCTGGGAGGGGGGGGCCTAGGGTAGGATGTAGGGTGTAGGATGTAGGGTTTGGGTCTGGGGTTTAGGGTTTGGGCCGCAAGTGCATAGGTTGAATGTTCCTGGTCTATATGGCACTTGCAATATGCCGCGGATTATACGTGTTGGTTTCATCTATTTTGCAGCCCAACACATGAGGCAGTATACTGCACTCTGGTTGAATATTTGGTACCTTGAACCCATAGGTCATCGGGTTTGGGGTTTAGGGTTTCGACTTGAGTCGTCGTTGCCATGGTTTTGAACCCTAGCATAGATGAGGTTCTGCCAGGTTGAGGCAAGCTTTGCGAAAGTAATTGCCATGGTCGGAGATCTGTTTGATTCGGTTCCAGTTGAGGCATGTTTACGTTGGTCGGTCTAGGCGGGTAGCTGTCATGTGGCTGTTTACACTGCTACCTGCCTGATTAATAGCTTAACTTACTGACACTTAGAGAATTTAGAACATATGCAGCAACATCCCTGAACGAGGTTGGGTTTAGAACTAGGGCCTCGTTTCTAGATCTTTAAGAGGCACGCCATGCATCTGCTTGCAGGAAGCTTCTCCTGAAGCTCATGAACGATCCAGAGGCAACCATCAAAAGAGAAAGCACGACAAACACCATTCGTTTCGAGTTGGGTTTTGGGATATGCTGAGACTAAACCCTCAACCCTAAGCCCTAAACTCCTAAACCCTAGACTACATAAAGGGATTCACGCCGGCCCCGCCCCCTGAAGCTCGAGGTCCTGAGTCTGATTCGACCCTGTGTTAGGGTTGAGGGTTTAGGGTGCCCGAAGTGCTAAACCCAAACCGTGCTGTTTGAGTTTCGGAATGCCTTACGAAGCATTACTCAGACATCCTCTTAGAATCCTCCGTCTTCAGTCAGAAGCTGCCATGCCTCCTTAGTATAGCAGTATAATTACCCAGATAGATCGTAACATGGTCTGTGAAGAGTTCCCTAGAATGGATACTCTAATCTGAGCATCGCCTGCTTTTCAGCGGTTCTTCTTACAGGGTGATGGGGGCCCTGCAAAACATGTAGGGTATGGTAGTTCGAAGTACAGTTGCAGCGCCAAGTGAAGCCTCCCCGCCCCAGCCTGAATCTCATTGCGTAGGCCTCGGTATGGCATTGACTCTCAATCCTGGCCCTATTACTCCCAAAGGGCCCAAGTACCATTATAGTAGGTACTTAGTAGGTATTTGGGGCCCCAAAAGTATATACTTAGTCCCAAACTTTTGGGGCCCAAATACCTACTAAGTACCTACTATAATGGTACTTGGACCCTTTGGGACTGTCCTCGGGCTTCATGGAACCTGAACCCTAAACCCTAAACCCTAAACCCTAAACCCTAAACCCTAAACCCTAAACCCTAAACCCTAAACCGAACCCTGTAAATCTTAAAACCGCATCTCTGCTCTTGACCACAGGGGATGGTGGTCTCGGTTTAGGGTTTAGGGTTTAGGGTTTAGGGTTTAGGGTTTAGGGTTTCCCTTAGCTTCGATTGCCGAGAAGCCACAGTCTCCGTGGCTCTTCTCTCCATGTCTTGAAGCTTATGTGTTATGCTTCTATAGTAATTAGAACAGGCTTTTGGCGTATATCATGTGACGACGATAAGAAGGAGTTGCAAAGTAAGGAATGGGTGATGATAATGTTTTTCCATGTTCCCATGTGGACGTCTCGATACGTTTCGCTGTACCCTGAAGCCCTCCGCGGCTGTAGCTGCAGGCTCCAACCCTGCATTTTCCAGGTTCAAAAACTGGGCTTTGGAGTACCATACTTTAATAATGCTTGTTTTGCGGGACCTGTCCCTTAAAGGGACCATTATGAAATAAAAGTCCATGTTTTTTTCTCCCTGGTTACTTCAAAGCCCAGAAAATCTTAGGGTGTTAAACTCAACCCACACTTTGATACTCCTTACCAAACCCTCAACCCCCACCCAGCGACTCCACTGCCCCGGAACTAGAACATTCCTGAATCGGAGATGAAATCCTAACCCCCTCGTTTGCTTTAGCAATACCTGTAGCCCAATACCGCCCTTTGTGGAAACTCAAGGAAGGAGCCCTGAACAGGCTGCTTTGGTTACATACATGTGCAGTATTCCTTAGGACAGGTGTTTTGGAGCTGCTGCCCGGAAGCCCTAGACCGAGAAGCTGTCGGGTGTAGGCCGCGTAGGCACCCTAAACCCTATACGCCCTAAGCCCTAAACCCTAAAGCCTTAAACCCTAAAGCCCTAAAGCTCGAAGGCCCTAAACAGAGAAGCTGTCAGGTGCAGGTCGTCGGAAGTGCTGTCATGGCTTTTCGCCAGATCTGCGTTCTCGTGGCCGCAAGCCTTCACGGCAATTCCCCAATCCCTACCTACAGTCTCCATTGTGGTTCCTGAGTTTTTGGTTTGACCTAGATTATGTTAAGGCTCCAAAAAAGCAAACCCAAAAAACGAAGTACAATGGAGACTACCCTGAACCCTGAACCCTAAACCCCTAAACCCCTAAACCCTAAACCCCTGAACCCCTAAACCCCTAAACCCTACCTCCACATTATAACGGTCTAGGGTTTGGGGTTCAGGATTTAAGTAGGGCCTCCACATTCCAATGTTGCGTTTCTTCGTGCGGGTGTCGGAAGGCTTGGAAAGGGAGCAAGCACTTTCAGATGAACCCTAAACCCTAAACCCTAAACTCTAAACTCTAAAGCAAGCAAACCCGAAGTCCAAGTTGAAGCATGGCGAGGTGAGTTATTTCTCTCATAGATGATGGATAGGCCTGGACCCCAAAAGGGTTTAGGGTTTAGGGTTTAGGGTTTAGGGTTTAGGGTTCAGGGTGTTAAGGACCTATATTAAGAAATCATAATAAGGAACCTTAAGAAGGGTTTCTAGGATTAAGGGGAGTTTGAAAGAAATCATAATAAGGAACCTTAAGAAGGGTTTCTAGGATTAAGGGGAGTTTGTTAGGATGAGTACCATGCTTCGGGTTCCTGCCAGCACGAGTCCGACTTTCTAGCGTCTACACCACGGTCCCCTACTTTAGGGTTTGGGCTTTAGGGTTTAGGGTTTAGGGTTTAGGGTTTAGGGTTTAGGGTTTAGGGTTTAGGGTTTAGGGTTTAGGGTTTGGGCTTTAGGGTTTAGGGTTTACGATCAGGGGTCCCTTAATTTCTGAAGCTGATCCCTGTCAACCGGAAAGCCCGACAGCCCTCCAAAGCGAAGCCCCGGAACCGTAAACCGCCAAGTGCATGCAGCACTCAAGATTAACATGCTGAGCCCTACAAGACGGTTTAGAGCTTAGGGTGTACCGTTTAGGGTTTAGGTTCCTGTGGTTGAACCTTATAGAACCGAAAAAGCTTCTGAATGTCAAGTCTCGTCGCTGAACCAAGGTCGGGGGGACGCACGGCCAGCCGGGTCTTCACACAGAAACCCCTCTAAACCCCAAGCCTTGAAGCTCAACCCCCTACTCTAAACCCTTCAGGACTCGGAGAACGAGAAAGCAGGGAGAGTCCCCTACACCTCAATTGCGGCAGCTGTGCTCATGCATAGTCTTCAGCTCCTTATTATAACCCTAAACCCTAAACCCTAAACCCTAAACCCTAAACCCTAACAGAGTAGTCAGGGTAGTCATTAAAAACACGAAAACACGTCAGGAAGACACCTTGAAGCCCCAGCAAGGCTCTTAAGTACGGTTGATGATATAAATCCTGCAATACCCATAATAAGGAATATGCCATAATTCCCATAGTTTAGGGTCCTTATGGTAATGCAGGATTTATATTATCAACAGTATCAGGGGTGTTGGGCTAAGAAAGCTGCTCGCATGCCAAGGTGGTGCAGCCGCCGAAGCCTCCTGCCGAGGCATCTGCGCACTTTCACGGGCCTGTCGGAGGTGATCAGGAACCCTTAATACAGGGTAAGCATCAAAATAGCCCAAAAAGCCTTATGTAATAGGGTCTTTGGGCCCGAAAAGCCTTAACATGTGAGTCCTTAGAGCCTTAGGGTTACAGGGCCCTTGCAAGAGTTCCATAGCGATCTTATTTGGTGTATTTGGGGTTTTGTACAGGTTTGGGTTTGGGTTCAAAAAAGTTCTTGGTGACTGGTTCTGTAGGGAGGACCATCTGTCTTGAAGACTTCTAAACCCTGAACCCTTAATCCTAGGCCATAAACCTAAGTTAGGTGGTTCCGGGTTTAGGCCTTACCTGAATCTTTACGAGCGGGCCTGCTATTCGATCGTTCTGTTCGGTTTTCGCTATCAGATGTGTGTCCCAAAAAGGGTAGGTTTAGTGTCGAATTCTGAGGGTTTAGGGGTTTAATATAGGGGCCTTAATAATTACCTATGCTGTTTAAGGGTTCCTTGTTCTAGTTAAAGTATAATATATACAGAAACCCTATTCTAATTGTTAAGGCCCCTACATTATAGGGTTTGGGGGGTTCAGAGCAGTGGGATTACGAGGTGATATCGTTCAGCGTTCAGGGCTGTTCAGCAACTGGTGTGCGAGCTCTTAGTTTTTTGGAGTCTCGTGAGATCGGGCATAGGTTTAGACACAGGCCGCTAGCCCAACATCTCGCTAACTCTGTCCGGGTAAGATTACGGAGTCTGTACATGGTTTCAGGTTCGAGGCCCCTACAAGCCCTAAACCCTATACAAGGCCTAATTCAAGGTTTGGGGTTTAGGGTTTAGGGTTTAGGGTCTCAGAAGACATGATTTGAAAGGGTCAGTGCTTCCAGGCTGGGACCGTGCTCGCTCAGGTCATCTTTCGATGCAAAGTCATGTGGTGATGACCATGCTAGAAATGGGGGTTTCTGAAAATAGGGAACCCTAATATAGTACCCTAAATAGTAGGATCCCCATTATAAGGACCCCAAACTAAGGTACCACGTATTTTCGGAAACTCCCAAATAGGCAAGAGTCGCGCATAGATCCTAGCAGCTGGCAGGAGTCGTGCATAGATCCTGTTTCAGGCAAGAGTCGTGCATGGGTTCGGCAAGAGTCGTCGGGCAAACCCTTCAACGACATAACAGAGGTTCTTGAACATGTCCTCCCCGATGCCGATGTGTTCGGCAGCTTTTCAGTGCCGAGTGGAGCGAGAAGTGCCATAGATTTTGGATGCACATATTTAATTCATTACAACCACGACGAAGCCGGAGGCACAATGCCCATGGGGTCACCAGTTGTTGGCGAGGGAAGTGGAGAAGGACCGATCCTGAGTCTAGGTAGTATTATTAGGGGTAGCCCTTAAAGGGTACCCCTTCTGAACCCTACTTTTGGCTCTCTTAAAAGGGACCTTATTGAGAGGTCTATATCCCCAAGGGTCCCCCTAGTCCTAGCTCCCAAAGTCAAATTGTGGCAGCATCTCAGACTTGCGAGCACTCATTCGAAACCACAACCCTTCCACCCCAAATCTGAAAGGTTCAAGTTACCGTTTAAGCGCATGGGAATCTCAGTTCGATATATCAACCCTGACATTTGCAAAAGAAATCCTGTATACGTGGTTACACCGAACTCTTGAAGAATCCCTGTTCTAGATATTCTAAGTGCCGGAAACCCTAACCCTGAAATCGAAACCCTAGACTCTACCCCTAAACCCTAAACCCTAAACCCTAAACCCTAAACCCTAAAGTAGTTCCGTTTTGGGATTACCTTATAGGTTTCTGAATATGAACCCCCAAAAGGGACTACTTCAGGGCCTATGAGGGCACCCTGAGTCCCATTTAGGGTTTAGGGTTTAGGGTTTAGGGTTTAGGGAGACCCCCCAAAGGCACCTAACTCGATTAGCTTGGGCTCGAGGCCGCCGGAGACGACGGCAAGACAGGACTGTGCTGATGCATGGCCTGCCACCTGGAGTTTAGGGTTTAGGGGTTGGGGGATTCAGGGTTAGGGGTTTAAGGGTTTAGGGTTTAGGGGTTGAGAGTTTAGGGTTTTCATGGGTCCTTTGAGGGCTAAAAAAAAAAAAAATATATATATATATATTGCCTAATCAGTGCTAGAGTATATAATATTAGAACTATTTGGAGCGCTATAGAACCCCCAAAAAATTAACCTTTAGTTCCCCTGGGATACTTCTATAAGGGCGGCTACCAGGGCTAATCTAAAGATTCTTGCGGTTTTGGTCCAGTGAGCCCAGCACCCCTGAATAAAGGAAATTTACCTGCGTTTTACAAAGATCTTACAGACTGTGATGGGGCTTCTATGAGGTGTAGATGCCCTTGGACTATGAAATATGGCCTTAAATATCCTGACATCAATGTTTTTAATCCCCTTCAAGGGTATTAGGCTCTCTGGGTGCCTTGAATGTCATGCTTCATGAGGTTTGTGTTTAGGTTTCAGAGCCGAGGGTTCAGGTTTAGACGAGGGCTTAGGGTTCAGGGTTTCCGAGGGATCCGATGTCATCGGGGCTTAGGGCAGACGATTCGGTAGTTAGGGACCCAAAAAGGACGTAAGCAGAAGCCTTCTACTGGGATATCCCTGTGGTCGGGATTGTTACAGTTACAGCTTACAGTCGAAATTCTGGGCCCTGCACCTTTCGATTGCATTGAGCGGATCGGAGCACGTGGCGGTCCCTGAATCCTCGAACAGTAGTGCTATCGTTGCTTTGTTCTTCTGTTCCAAACAGGCAGCTCAAACCCCAGCCAACGGTGTTGCTAATCCTACAGTACTCTGTTATTAGCATCTACTACCTTCGAGGGTTTAAGTAGCTATTCAGTAGGTACTCTGGCACGTGAGAGGTTCCTGCGTACCAGGTTTCAGGCACAGTCCATGATTTATTCAGTTCCCGGCTACTACCCACAGTCCCTAACCCCCGATGCCGGGCCGGGCGAGACTCGAGACTCTTAAAGATTATTTTTTAAGTGCACCAGAGTCCAATTTCTTGTTTAATGGTGTTTATACATACTTACATACTGATTCACCCAACCGCTCCCCACCCCAATGATGAAGGATAACCTCGCCCCTAAACCCTAAACCCGATGACCAATTTCAGGACAGACGGCTGAGGCCTCGTGGGTTTATAGGTTTACAGCCTAGGGATGTACCGTGAAGATGCCGTGAAAAGCGGCCTCGTCTTATCACTTTGAGGCATGGGAGTTTCAGAAAATTAGGGTACCTTATTTGGGAGTCCATAAAATACGGATCCTATTATTTAGGGTACTATATTAGGGTCACCTATTTTCGGAACTCCCCATATTGCATTTCAGGGGGCCCCAACAGGGTCTGCGTAATAGAGAAGTGTAAGTAATTACCAATAGTATTTTGGGGGCTCCTTATTATAAGTCTAGGATAAGATACCCGCAAAACAGTCGCAAAACCGTATTCTAATTATTAAGGCCCCTAAAGTACAACATTCTCCGAAGGGATTATCTAGTTTAGAGTACGGAGGAGTATACACCGCCTCTAGCACCCTCTGCAACTCTAGACCCCTGTCCAAAACCCTAAAGAGATGAGACTTGAAGGAGCCACTTCAGACCAGGTGACGCCCTCAGTCGTGAGAGATGGAACTGATGGCCTCAGGTTCAGTTCAGGGTTCAGGATCTGTTTTGTTTCGGGTTTGCTCCACACAACGCGCAGCTACCATGTCATGTACCCATGATGGCTACTTGCTCCCAAAAGCAGGATTGATCAAGTTTTGCAGGTGGTTCCAGACTGTTCCAGAGGGTTCAAGGGCACCATGGGCACCCATGTTGGTCATGCATCGAAAGGGACGCAGATGGCTCCATGTTATTGGGGGTTGCCTAAGGCCTAAGAGCATGTCTAGCATCATCGTTAGCACTAACACCATAGCTACCACTTTAATACCTTTAGTGATTATATATGAAATGTATACACCTACTACACAATGTAATGACCACCATTCAATATGCGGTTGTTCTTGTTGCTGCCGATGTTGGCGGTCCATCTTGCCACGGCGGCTGCTGAATGCTATGAATAACGGTTGACATGCGGCGCTCAAGTTCCACACCCGAGACTCAGATGGATCCTACACCCGATACCGAGACTCCTATACCCTGGTGGTCCAAGTAGTACACATTCATGGCTTTTGGTACCCAGAACGGACCCAAAGCCCCATAATAGAGAGTACTTGGACTCTTAGGGATAGTCCCTGTAGGACGGGTATGGTGCGGTTGGAGACCATATCACCAGCTGGTTGCTCCGATCGACATGGCTCTTTGGGCCTGGAAGCACCGTCTTTGTCTACGCGCACAGAGTCCCCGTGAATCCCAGAACAGCCAAAGTAGATGTCCTATATGGACGTGATGTCAGGGTTTGGGTTTGGTTCATCCAAACCCTAAACCCTGAACCCTAAAACCCTAAACCCTAAACCCTACCCAAAACCGAAAAACCCAAGACCTTGAAGCCGTAAGCCCTCAACCGGAGGGTTTCGGACGGGATGTGGAAGTCCTGGTCTGGTTTAAGCGGTTTAGGGTTTAGGGTTTAGGGTTTAGGGTTTAGGGCTTAAGGCTCGTCAGCAGCTGGAGCTCCTTCATCCCCTCTACAAGCGGTTGGTTCAGGCACGACGGCGGGCTTAGGGTATAGAACGGTTTAGGGTTTAGGGTTTAGGGTTTAGGGTTTTGGGTTTAGGGTTTAGGGTTTAGGGTTTACCGATACTATTCCTTAGGGTTGTGTATTGGGATGATGCAAAAATCTGCCCCCAAAACCGTGTTGAAAGGCTCGTGTAGTAGCTGCTTTCGGCTGAAGAAATCGCCGGGTTGCGGGCCAAAACCTCTGACGAGCAGCGGCAATGCTAAGTTTCTTGACTCGTGTTGTGTCCAATGTAGGGGGGTTATATAGGGTATAGGAGCTTAGGAGTTTAGGGTTGAGGGCTTACCCGACTATATTTGTTGCTAGAAATACCCCTGAACCACATTCCAACCAGTAAGGCCCGTATATTGCTTCTGTATCAGTGTAGCCCAAGATAGGCTCCGAAAATGTGTTCGTGTTGGTTCGGCCATGGTGAGCCAACAGGCAACGAACCCTCTGGCCTCGGGTCTTTTCAAGTCGCAGTTTTGACGATACAGCCGGCTGGACTATGGACCTTATTGCATACCAGAGCCCCCTGAAGCCGAATTCCAAATATGCCATAGCGCCCTACAGCCCTTCAGGCCAAAACCCTTTTGTACCCAACGTAAGCGGTCTGGGTAATGAGTCAGAACACTCGCTGCGATCCCTGCGTATGTATACCCTGAGCTCTAAACCCTAAACCAGCGGCCCCTGTTGCTAGTCCCAGCAAGCCCTAAACCCGAACCCTTGGACGAAAGTCCACTACACTTAAAAAACCCCTGAAGTCAAGCCCTTAAACCCCAGGGTTTAGAGTTTAGGGACCCTTAACAACCCGCAAGCCCCTTAAGCCTTTAGACCCTATAACAGACTATCCCTAGATCCTTCAAACGTTACATGTACTAAGCGGGCTTAACTTCCCTAAATCATAATAATAATTCCTGATATAGAGACCCTGCCGTACTACATTCTATTTTATCGGCACTTTGGACCCTTTGGGATATACTGAACTACGGCTGATGATACAAATCCTGCATTACCCAGAACAAGACATATATGTATATATATATATATATCATAACTCCCATAGTTTAGGGTCCTTACGGTAATGCAGGATTTATATCATCAACAGTAAGTTTCACAGCTCAGGCTTTTGGATGCAGAGGGTTTCGGGTTCTGGGTATAGGGCTAGGGTTTCTGTAGCAGTTCAAACGTGGTTCATGAAGAGATCGCTTAGATGATGCTTCTATATGCATCCCGAACCCCCCCAGGTACCTACTATAGGGTACTAGAGCCCCGCTAGGGCCCTATATAGTAGGTACCCGGGGGGTTAGGGCATCTTTGATAGGTTTTATAAGAGGTTCATTATGGTTTGGCGTCCTAGAGCAGGTGTACGCATCAGGTTTTCGGGCTTTGAGAGTGCAATCATATAGGGTCTAATTAGGTTACCAATACTTGTTTTTTTTTGGGGGGGGTCCTTTTTATAATTGTAGTATACTGTACCCGAAAGCCCTATTCTAATTATGAAGGCCCCTATAATACGCTTTCTTTCAGGAGCATTCCTTGAATTGCTCAGGGCATCTTACCTGCATGCTCGAACACTAAAGTCACTAAAGCTATGGATCCCATTCCCGTAAAGGAACATGTCAAGAAACCCGTAAACGACCTTCTAAACACTACCTTTCGCTGAGCCTGACAAAGCCTCGAGTTCTGACGTCTCGACGCATTTCGCGCCGATCCCTGAACCTTCAAGCGCAACACTTTAGGGTAGTTGAGCAATGCAAACATGAAGACACAGAATATGCGCCCTGACAATCAGAATATGCTCCTCATGGATGCCTGGGCGTCCGATGCCTCAATGCTCGATTGTGTGTTTGAAAGTGTCTGCTGGGATGCCAGGGCTATCGCTTTCCTCGTTTCAGGGTTCAGCATTTATTTTGGAGACCCTACATCCCTTTGTTTTTCGAGGTTGCCGTTCCTTTGTTTAGATTATAGTGCAACTTCCGCATTACAAGTCTGAAGGGAAGGTTTGGGCTTCCCTCATAACAGGCATTCGAAAAGAGGCCCGTGGAGAATGTCTGGGAGACGGGAGCCCCACTTCTACTTAAAAGCAGTTCATCAAAAACATGTTCATGTTCCTAACAAAAAAAGCCCTAATCTCAACCCTGAACAATTTCCTATTCCCCCCTCCCCACACTCCCATGCCAATGCAGCCCTAAACCCGACCCCAAACTTCACCGTAGTTAATACAGAGGACGGAGCAACTACCAACATCATTCCTCAGGGGTCCGTACTATGCCTGTAGTATAGTGCACCACCCAAAAACTTATTGAACATTAGTGAAACCCTGAACCCCCAAAATCGAGGCGCCCTGTGGAACCCTTGACAGGTGCCCAACCCCTAGACCCTAAACCCTCGAAAAGGGGCCCTATTCTAGCTGTTCAGGCTGTTGCATCTCGCCGTAAAACCCCAGAGACCTGGACCAAACACCACATGGAACCCAAGCCTCAACGCGGTTTAGTGCTTAGGGTTTAGGGCTTAGGGTTTAGCACAGCGCATAGCAACGAGTTGCCTAAACCTAAAACCCTGAAATTCCTGAAGCAGCAAAGCCCTATAATTTTAATCCTAAAGCCCTAAGAGGTAAAGTTAGTGAAGGCATAAGCAGATTCGGCCATGCTGAGGCAGCAGTCCTGCATCGACATCCTGATGAGGCCTCCTTGCACTGCAGCAAACTTTGAAAGTCATCTGGTGTGTTCAGCCTCTAAACCCTAAAGTTTAGTAGCGCCTAAACCCGAGCTCCTAAACCTTTAGGGTCTGCAGGTTAGGGTTGTTTTGCTGTGATGCGCTTTCGGTTTCATCGGATTGTGTACGGCTTTCATTCGTCAAAGACGAGTCTGTAGATGATGTAGTTCCGCGGCAGTTCATACGATGGTTTTAAGGGCTATATAGGTTATAGTGAAATTGTGTTTAGAGGTGTCATGGAATGACATGATATGGTATGAAATGGGTTGCTATGATGTGATCTGGCCTGATCTGATATGCGATGCTATGCTCTGATATGGTGTGATGTGATATGACATGACATGATATGATGCGCATATATGAACTGTATGTATTCTCAAAAGGCTTACAAAGTTTGTGTCGCGTTTCTGAACATCTGGACCCTAACTTTTGCAACTCACCCGATTGTAAATCCCCGCTGCCTAAGCCTTCTTCTGATGCTTGAGCTCAGGGTTTAGGATCATTTTTTCCCAGAGACTCCAAAACCCCTTAATTAAGGAATATACCTGAAATTACGATAGGATCCCTAACATGATTTAAGGTATATTCCTTAATTAAGGGGTTTTGGAGTCTCTGGGTTCTGATGCTTGAGTCTGAGCTTCGGATTTCGGCAGCTGTCGAACCTCAGACGTCCCTGCACCCGAACTGGCAAATTCGACTTTGTGATTGCTGGAAGCCCGAGCCCCTACTACGCTGGGGTCTAGGGTGTAGGAGTTTGGGGTTTAGGGTTTGGTGCTTCAAAAACTCCACAACTCCTTACCATTTCCCGCTAAACCCTAAACCCTAAACCCTAAACCCTAAACCCTCATCCCAAAAACCGAACCCTAAGGGTCCTTGTACCCAAGAGAGATACCTTGGCCTCAAAAGTAGTCCCTACTATAGGTACTTTGGGGCCAATGTATACTTGGTTGAACTTTACAGTCACTTTATAGCTTTATCATTTTTAGGATTAGCCTTTTTGATATTTAGGGGTACTAAAAGTTAAAATTTTCGCCAGGTAATAAAGAGCAACCCAGTGTATCCTCTATGAGTACATGGACCCTTAGGGGAACCGTAGGCAGAAGCGCCCGCCCCAACGCCAAGCCCGGAGCTCCTCCAGCCTTATAAGCGCTAAGCCCCGACATAGAAGCCCAAAGAAGCACACATATTATTCCTTAGGGTTCCTTATGATAAGGGAGCCCAAGAAACCGATTCTGATTATTAGGGCCAATACATTAAGGCTTAGGGCGTTCAAGTCCGATAGTCTTTGCAGATACTCGCGCCTTTTCTTCGCTTCCCCGGAGAAGAAGGAATCGATTGCTTCTTGTGTTGGATGTCCTGGATAGTGAGGGGTTGCAGCAATCTAGTATTTGAAAGGTTTTAACTAGGGCGTTTGCGGTAGGGTTCGAATTCATGAGGGCATGCTGGGTTGGGGTGTTGAGGGTTTGGGGTTTGGGCGTTTTGTTAGGAGCACTCTTTACCATTGAAACCCTGAACCCTAAACTCGAAACCCTATAAGCCTAAACCCTAAACCCTAAACCCCCCCCAAAAAAACTATATAAACGCCAGACCCCAACCTTGAGCCAGAAGACGCATGGGCGCCGCGTTGCATATGGGTAGTTTTCTAAACTAGGGTATCCTGTAGGGTCCCTGTTTATACGGTTGCCACACTATTTTAAGGGACCCAGAAAGGGACCCTATCTTGCAGAACTACCCATTTGGGCATCTTCCGGCACATCCCCGACGCCCTCTTCTGTTGCAGCGAGTAAGGTACCCAGAGACTCCCAAACCAATACAAACTAAATCAAAATGGCGAATCGCCCTATAAGGTTTTTCTTCTCAATTAAGGGGTTTTGGATTCTCTGGGTATGCTCTGAGTCTTCAAAAAACAGCAGCCAGCACGAAAACCGAGCAGAGCGGCACAAACCGACCGCTCCCTTGATCCAACTGTTTGACCAGACATGTCAAAAAAGGGTTGAGGGCTCAAGGTGTACAGAGATCGCTTGGGCTTTCGTTGCGACAGGATTCCAAGTCTTTCCCCGTAGCACTGGACCCTAAACCCCAAAACCGCCAAACCCCCAAAGCATGGCAACTCCGAAACCCAACTTCCCTGCTGACGTTTGCCCGAGCGTGGCTCTTGCTTCCAAATCCTGCAAGGTTTCGTTTAGCTGTGCTGTATATGGGTAGTTCTCTTTTTTAGGGTACCTTTTGGGGTCCTGTTTCCTACTATATTGGGGACTTAAACAGGGACCCTACTTCAGAGAACTACCCATATACTTTGCCCTGAACAGGGTTCCTCTTTGGTAGCATTTGGGCCAAGTCGGCGCTATAGTTATGGTATAATTATAGAACCCTAAACCCTGACCCCTATAATTGAGCAGATGGAAAAGGGCCCTTAAGAACTATGGTATAATTATAGATCCCTAAGCCCTAAACCCTAA